AGGCCGCCTGCCCTGACTCACCCTCGCCCGCCCGGGAACTCTGCGGGAGTCCCGGCTGCTCCGCGCCCAGGGACCCAGGAGTCGGGCCCAGCGTCGGTCTCTGAGCGGTGAGTAGAGGGATCCCCACCCCTGGGGACCACCATGTGGTGGGGCGGGGGTCTGGAGGAGGAGACAGATCGCCCCAAGTGCTGCGGGCCCCGGGCACGCTGGGTTCTGAAGTTGGGGAGTACGGGGCAGCGCTGAGGCCCCGCCTAAGGGCGCCTGTCCTGGCCAGGGACCTCAGGGAAGGTCCCCGCGCTGGGGTCGACCTTGGGGGTCTGGAGGACTTTGGTCTTTCCTTGGTGTCTGGGAAAACAGCTGCTCATCCCTGAGCGCCCCTCAGAGCCCCAGAACCCCACTACTTGGGGTCCTCACCAGGCTGCCCCTTGGGGCTTTCAAGCTTCCATACACCCCTGACCCACGAGTCCTGGCAGGGGCGGCTTGGTAAAGCCCCCGGCTGGCAGTCCGCAAAGCTTGGGGCCTGGCCCAAGATCTACAAAGAGGAGATCTGGGGAGGGACAGAGGGTGGCGAGGTGGTCAGGAGTGCTGGACTCCCATGTGGCCAACCGTGGTTCGAGTCCCAGACCTGGTGGCCTGCTTTCTCAGTTTCCCTCTCTTACTCTCTCACTCTGGCCCTCTCTGGTCAAATAGAAATAAATAAATAAGGTTCAAATAAAATAATATTTTTTTTTTCTTGAGAGGTTTTTGCTATAGGGCTCGTGTACTCATGAGAGAGACAGAGAGACAGAAAGCGAGAAATCATCCCCCAGGGGGATGGCCATGCCGCAATCCCTTCTCCTCCATTCTCCTCTCAGGATCTTGGGCACGCACATACACGCACCCGGCGTGAGTTTAAGCCACCAGGTCCAGGACTTGAACCACGGTCGACTACATAGCCATTACACCATCCGCTGGTCCCAAAATAAAATAATTCTTAAAAAAAAAAAAGAAAAGAAAAGAAAAAAAAAAAGGAGACTTTCCCCACCCCAGACCTCAGTCTCCCTCCTGTGTAAAAGGCAGAGATTGGACCGTGTGCGCTCCGAGGCCTCTCAGGCTGAAAACCACCATTCCCTCCTGGCTTCTTAGCATAGCAGGGGCTGTGGGTGGGGAAGGGGCCGGCCCAGAGCATGCCCCCCTCCGCCCACACCATGGCCACCAGCAGCAGGAACTGGCTCACTAGGGCGGCTTGAGATCTGGGGTGAGGCGTGGACAGCAGGAGCCAGGACTGGGCGGAGGGCATGCGACCCCAGGCTGGCAAGACCACCACCCCTCTGTCCACCCAGCCAGCTCGGCTCAGCTCTTCAGGGAAAGATGATGTAGCCCAGAGGCAGGTTTTCTCCCCAGGGGCGGAGGGGAGGGCAGAGAAGATGCCATTAGACAGGACCAGGGGTCTGGAGGGCCAGTCTCAAATGCCACCTGCAACTGAGACCTGGAGCAAGTCACACACACACACACACACCCCACCCCAGTCTGCAGAACAAACACCTGACACGCACATTCCGGAGTTGGGGTAAAATGTGGAGCGGAGGGTGTGTCGGGGGTTGACAGTGGGCCCTGTGCTTGTTAGTCCCCCAGTTCCAGTTCAGGGGCCCCTCTTCCTCCAGCTCCGCTCAGACAAAGGGGGGCCAACTGCGTCTGTGGACATTTAATGGCAGGTCCAGGACGATCAGATCTGAGTCATGGAGACAGATAATGATAACCCCCGGGGCTGCCTGTGACTCCGTGTGTGTTTATACCTGTGGTTCACGGACCAGGACCGTGGGCTGTGGTGCTTCCGAGATCCTGAGGGGCAAGGACAGGGAGTCAGGCCTCCCTGTGGGTGACAGTTCTGCCACTGTCCCCAGAGTTACTGCATTGTTTTTTTTTTTTAAAGGATTATTTAGGGAACAGCAGGTGGCATAGTGGTTTAGGCACTGGACTCTCATATAACTGACCATGGTTCGAGTCCTGGACCTGATGGCTTACTTTCTCACTTTCCCTTTCTCTCTCTTACTCTCTGTCTGTCTCTAGTAAATTAAAATAATAATAAGTAAAATTAAATACATAATCCAAAATGTATTTTAATTAATATTTTCAAAATTATTTTATTTAACTTTATTTATTTACTTACTTATTTTAATTTGACCAGAGAGGGACAGAGCAAAAGAGAGAGAGGGAAAGTGAGAAAGCAAGGCTCCAGGCCTGGGACTCGAACTGTTTTCAGCTGTGTGGGTAGGAGTCCAGCACCCTTAACCACCACGCCACCTCCTGGCTCCTAATTAATTTATTTTTAATTTGACCAGAGAGAGACAGAAAGAGAGAGAGAGGG